GCGAGCGCTCATCAGCTGCGTCCTCTCGCTGCATAAAGTGAGTAACGAATGATAGAATACACAGCAATTAAATTCGTACAGAGGAGGTCACAGAGACAGGTCAGGAAGGTCAATTAGTAAGCTGGGCTAATTAGTCTAATCGGTAACGTAAGCAAGTAAAACACTGTGGACAGAAAGGTAGGGGAAAAAACGTTGAAGCAGAAATGCGGGCAGGGGGAAGTTTGAATCAGCGAGCTGGATGTTACCAGGGCAAAGAACATGCTCCAACTGTCTACATGGGTCGGGTTTTGACCGTTATATACAGGCTGCCTCCAGGTAGCGCAAGGTACGAGTTGTTCGTGCCCGACCAAGTACTCGGAGGGAAGTTTTTGGCTCTACAGAATGGCCCGTATCCAATAGGTGTTTAGTAATGGAAGACCGAGGAGTTCTTTTCTCCTGTTTTAATAGCCAACTCGGCAAGTGCTCCTTAGCCCTGGCTGCAGTTCCATTATTGGCAACGCCACATGTTCTGCATTTCATAGCTGCTCTCTACCAAGAGGGAGTTCAAAGGTAGAGTATGGCGAGCGCTGCAAGCAACATTCCGCAATTTGAAAAATACCGGTAATCACTCGAAAACCAACATTGAGTAGGGTTGCAATACTGTCTGTCCTGAAGTCCAACTTCAATTATTTTCAGTCACGCTAGGATGCCGTCTCTGTGATAAGCTGCTTTTTGATCGCTGCGAAAAAGTTGATTGTGTAAAAAACTGGCTTCATAATGAATATGCATTCTATCATTGATTTCTTTATAAATTCAAATATATTTTATGGAAAGCATGCACGAAAAAATCCTCTCTCGTACCATTTTGATAGCAAATTGCACCTTCTTAAAGGAAGGGTTTCCTTCGGTTTAAAAAAAATTCTAATTTTTAGTTTTTTACGACTGTGCGGTGTTCATTCACAATACATCGTATCCGTCAATTTATTGATGCTGCCCCTGATATATACAGCACGATCCATGTCTATTGCAAAATTCTATGAGAGCTATGCAACCACTTCTTCAAACCATAGGCAAGAACGTGCTTTTCATTAAACAGA